TTGTGTACCAATGTACAACTTATGGAAATGACGTTTTTAAAAATTAATTACATCTTGCCGCAAATATAGCAGCCCTTAGCGTGGGCTTAATATATCATTTGAAATGGCTCCGAGTGCGTTAATTACACACACAGACCAACCTCTGGAGTGTTGCAACTAATTAATAATTCTACTTGTGTATATTTTTATTCGTATTATTTTTGTTTGTATCCAACCGCACGGAATTGTGGTTAAAACGTGTAATTAACGTGCGTGGAAAGAGTTTTGCTTTAAAATCCAAAGGTGATCCGTTCGTGGATGCCCTTATTTATCATGACCCTCCCCTCTTACAAGGCTTTACAACAGGTGATGGAATATCGTGATTGACTACGTTAGCGTCAGACGATTTTTAATTCGTGTACAATGATTGGTGGGAGTCTTCGAGATGCTTTACTGTCACACATGATTTCCCCTATACTCCCCCCCCCCCCCACCAACTTCGCCGCAACCCCTTTATTATTTGAGTGGAGCGTCTTTAAATGGATCACCCTATATTACCAAAGCAGCAGAAGAGAGAAGAAGGGGGAACAACAACAACAACAACAGCAACAACAACAACAAAAACCTCGCAGCGCCAGTGGCTCCCGTAAATACACGAGGCGGAGGCTTTCTGATTTGATCCCGGCTGTCGAGACAGGCATGGTCCGGTCGCCGCGTCTGCCATAATTGCGCCCTCTGTTCTTGCTCGGGGCAGTGATGTATCGACCCGGCAATTAAAACCACCGCTAATGGTACATTAGTCATTAAATGATTAATTCAGCGGCGTTCTAGCGATGCAAATGATCATTATTATCGACTCGAATTGATCACGGCCCCTCTCTCAAGCAGGCTAATGCGCGTGGTCCCGTGGTGAGCTGCAGGGAGTGGGTGGGTGGTTGAGTGGGTGAGTGGTTGAGTGGGTGGTGGAGCGGTGAGCGCGAGTGAACTCCACCCCGCACAGCCCAAGCGAGCCCTCTCAGCAAGGCAAGGTCGCCACGTACCCCCAGTGCGCATCCCTGCACAATTATAAAACGTGTCTGCGCGTGTGTCTGCATAGCATGTGTAGCCATCATCATCATCATCACGAGCAGCAGCAGCAAACAGCCATGAGATATCCACTGCTTGATGAAGGCCTTCTCTACTTGATGAAGGCCTTCTCTAGAACCGTCTCCGTCCAGCCGTGCGCAGAGAAGAAGAGGCGGATCCCGTGATGCCACGATCCATTTCGCGCGCTCGGCATACACGGCTCGGTACCGTAGTTGATGTCCTCTCTGCCGTGGACTGTCTTCTCTTTCGGGGTGTTCCTTCCTTTGACTGCCACTCCGTGGTTAGTCTCGACCACCGGTCGTCATCCCGTTCCCGCGACGGTGGCCTGCCCTCAAGGCCACTTATTTTTTCTTAAGTCAATACTTGTGGGATGTCTTATAAAATGGGTCAATGTAAACGCTTATTTAAATGTAATGTTCACGTAGCTCCCCGACCTATTTGAGATCCATAATTCACATTGTGGATTTCGTGTGTGAATGTGATATATATTTACAAAGTCTCATCATCAGTATAAGCTTAGCTTACAAATTGAGGCGTTTTACAGTTTTTAGATGCTTTTGTAAACATAAACTGTCATACGGTTGAAGACACTTGAACAAACTTCAGTTCACCATAACTCCTTACTCAAAACACGAATTAATTATTATTACAATGGTTTCAACTTATAAAGCGCAACCGCACGATTCGCTCGCTCTCATAGAGCGAGACCGACTCGGGGTCGCGAGCAACCAGCGAGACAAGCAGGAAGGCAGCCACGCGATAAGCCGGCACCAACCATTGCCCACACTCTGCGGTCCTCTATATATTAAGGTGTTATCGGCCAAACTCATGAGTGTTTACACGCCGTAGGAAACCGGAGCACGCGGACAAATGCATTTGTGTGCGTACAAAGTGTAGGCGAGTGCATTTTTTCTAAATGTTCTATCAGTTATTTACACACGTTGCGATGGACCATTGGACAATGGGCCATGCTTTTAAAGTGCATGCGCATTCCTACTATAACCTGTACGCGAAGAGCCGATATACCTATGCGTTTCTCTGTGTTCGTATGCAGTATGCATGAAGCTCTCAAAGTATTTGTCTAGGCTCACATACACCTTAAATGATTAAACGCTAAAGTGAATTTGCCGAAAGCGGCGAAAAAAATACTGGGGCTCTTTACGTTGAGCTTCCTAATGGCCTTAATAAAAGCGTTACCTTTACCTACACTGAAACTAAATTGCGTACCAAATAATTATATCTATAATTAACTTCGTTATATTTAATATCAATGCGACGATTAAATGCGCCTCTTTTTGCGGAACGATGTCCTGTTGTACCAACTGTGTGTGTGTGCGTGCGTGCATGCGTGTGTGTGTCCTCTAGTGAGTCGAGGCGCCATATACAGTTAATTAATTACACGTGTCATAATTAGCTGTACCCACGTAATATATGTGTATATTTATATATACTGTATATAGACACACATTGTTCACTTCTCGTGTAATATACAAACAGTACATGAACAGTGTATGTATATAAAGACATATACATCTCCCGTTTAGCTTGCATCGCAGACTCTTGGGAAAAGTGTTGCTAGCTAGCACCTTTTTAAGGCCCAAGTGTGCATATATACGTGTTTGTATACATTTGCAGTGCTTCATTTCAGGATGAACAGTCCGGAACGCTGATCTGGTAATTATTTTCGCCACGTTTCATCTTGTTGTGTTCTCTGGATGCCGCGTGGTGTTCTGAGCGGCGGAGTGCTTGACGGTAGTGCAGTGGACAGCGCGCTGCGCTACGAACCCGGCAACCCGAGTTCGATTCTCGCTCACGGTCAACACCATTGACGATTATCTGAACCGGTCCGGGACCTTACCCTAGGTCGACTTTGCTTTAAATGAATAGCTTGGTACGGTGTGTAAATATCGCCACTGGGGAGACAAAGGCGGCCGGGCGTGGTGCTAACCAACTACTCCATCGTGTGCCGTGCCGGCCTTCATTGGTGCTCGCTAACAGCACTAGCCCCTACAGTCTGTTAAGGCTTTGTCGTTGTCTTGTAAGCAAAAACCGTGCTTGAAGGTGCGTTAGGGTTATCAGAAGTCTTTAAGGAGAATACTCAAATATGGATATTCTAGCGGGGTAGTGCCTTATGCCAATAATTCCTACTCGCAGGGTTCCATCATATATCGAGTTAGAAAATAAGCCCTATTTTACACGCACATTTACACAAATACGTGGATAGTAAATTGCAACACATTCCATGGTAGCTCTGGTTAGCCGTTGATGATGATGATAATAAAACATACATAGACAAAGACCCCCAGCTGAGCCTGAACAGACTCGGGGCAAGTGCTGTTAGCGAGCACCAAATGAAGGCCGGCACGGTGCTCGCTAACAGCACTTGCACACACACTGCACGAGGTACTTCATTTAGAGCTGAGTCGGCCTAGGGTAGGTGCAGAATCAGTTCAGATAATTATCTGAATTTTCGCTCACGGCCAACACTAGTGATAATTATAATTATCATTGGTGTTGGCCGTGAGCGAAAATTGAACTCGTAGCAACTACATTATCGCTCCCCTACAAAGATCCCCTGTACAGCCTTGACAGACTGTTGGGACAAGTGCTGTAAGCGAGCACCTATGAAGGCCGGCACGGCACACGAGGGGGTGGGTGGCCAACACCACGCCCGGCTGACTTTGTCTCACCCAGTGACGATGTTTACACACCGCACCAGGTACTCATTCGAGGCTGAGTCGACCGAGGGGAGGCCCAGGACCGGTTCAGATATTCGTCACCGGTGTTGGCCGTGAGCGGGAATCGAATTCGGCTCATCGGGTTCGTAGCGCAGCGGGCTAACCGCTTACACGACCGCGCGCCTGCACAGACACCCACAGACACTGCAACTACTACAGCGAGTTGCGTGAATGCGCCGCTTTTGCGGCCGGAGCCCGGGTTCGCTTGGCGCCCGCGCTAACGGTGGTAAAATAACAACGGAAGAGACCGTTCAGACAGCATTGCACGGATGAACTGTAGCGTGGTTATTGGTTTCGACACGCCGAGGATTTCGCTGTTACAGGCGAATGGGCCCCGAACAGCGATGTTAACTTCGCCGGCATAAAGGCAGTGCAAACACAGCTTGACCCCGAAGCCATTTCATTATCGCGAGCACAAAAGGCTCTGCTGCTAATTGCTCCAACTCATACGAGAACTTTTTCGAGCACATCGGCTTTGCCAATTAACGTCCGGAAGGCCACTCGGGTGGACTTCCCCCTCGCACGCCATCCCCCCCTGCTCCTCACCCCCCACCCTGTCACCCCCCTCCCCCCCAATTTAAATTAATTAAATTTCGTGATTTGGACTCGGCCATCACGGCGATGGAGCGATACCTTTAGCCCATGTGCAGGTGTTAGGTTGGATCGTTACATCGCAGGACCCTGAGAGATGGAGACCGCTTCGAGAGTGGATCATATAATGCCCGCTACTGTGGATGGGGATTATTAATGAGTAATTCATTAATGTTAGAAAAAACACTTTCAAACAACACAATTTGGACAGCAGTGGATATAACACGGCTTGCTTTTTTTTACACAATGTATTTGCACAGCGGATGTAGAAGCTGTTGCTTTACAAGTAAATTTAATTACGTATAGCCTATCAAGTTTTAATTATCTAGGCAATTAAAGATCTCATCAAAAATGTGCTTTTCTCAAAAGTAGCACTTTAATCTTCGGACGGTTTCGATAGCCAATGTCACAAGACAGCCCTTAAGACGTAGTAGGTGCATTATAAACCGCGTTTTGCGAACGTTAAAGAAGTCGATGATGATGATAGACTATGTCAATAGGAGTACCGTGGGAGAATTTATTCGAAGTGCGTGTGTAACTTAATTAAATGTCCAAACGCCGGAAGCGAGTAACAGAACAACAAAATGTAAACCAAAAAAAAATTGGTAAAATTATCAGAAGTTCACGTTTAATGGGGCTTCGTTCGTCCTTTCTCCGCAACGTTATCTGGCAGCTCACACCTCCCCAACGAAACGGACGCGAGATAGAACAATCGGGGGCGAATAAATACGAAGTCGAGGCCGACTGAGGACGGCCAGCTTTGACGGTCGTGGCAAGAAGCACGTGCGTGGCGAGTTGGCGACAACGAAGCGCGAGGCGAATAAATAAGCACGTCTCTCTTTCAAAAATACACGTGTACAATTCGCGCAGGACGGGGGGAAGGGGGGCTTGCTTTTTGACATCCGTTCGTATTCACGCGACGTTCACGCGACGTCGTCCTCTCAGTCGGCGAGCGGTGGAGAAATACAGTACAGCAATTACATGGGAGAAATAAACGATAGACGGACGCGATTAACCTTTGACGGGTATAGGCTACAATATACAGCATATATATTGAAATTCGATCTGTTTTAATCTGTACATTCGCTTCCTTACCCCCCCCCCCATTTCCAACATTTGCAATAAAATACGCTTATGTACACAATCGTAAAGAGAACACCGAAAGACGCCGACCGTGTATGGAACACTTTACATGTTTTATAGTTGGCGGTGCGTCTCAGCTGTGGTTTGACAACACGGGCTGTACCGTGTACGCAATCTTAGCTCAGAAGCGCCGTCGATTAAACGTGTGCAATGTGTGTGTATATATACCGCAAACGATACTTACAAGACAAGCACAACAAACGTCAATGTTTTTGTGGTTTACAGCTCAGTAGTCGACACACCTACGCACGCACGCACACACACACGCCAACTTGCGCATTACAAGCAACGCGCTGGGCGCTCGAATTCTCACACTTTACACCGTAGTACAAAAAAACCCAGAGTATTTCATATATAAAAAAACAAACAAATCCAACATATATACCAATGGAAACGAAAAAAAAACTTGTTAAAAATAGTTTTTGTTTTGCTTGTTACACTAAGCCAGTCATAGAGCGCATCACGGGCATCGGGCCGCCGATGGCCTGGTGCATGTACGGGAGCGGATGGGCAAAGCCCTGCAGGAGAGGCCGTGACAAGTGGCTCGCCCCGCCGTGCACGTGGGCGCTGCCCGCCGCCGCCGCCGCGTCTCTGACCCCTGAACTCTCGTGGTACAAGATGGGCACCCGGACCAGGCGCTGCGCCGTGTGCGAAAGGTTGGCGGCCTCGAGCTCGGCGGCGAGCTGGCGCTTCCACTTGTTGCGCCGGTTCTGGAACCAGATCTTCACCTGCGTCTCGGTGAGGTGGAGCGACGCGGCGAGCCCCGCGCGCTCCGCGCTGCTCAGGTAGCGCTTCATGTCGAACGTCGACTCCAGCTGGAACACTTGGCTCCGAGAGAACACGGTCCGCGTCTTCTTCTTGCGTCCGCCCTTCTTCTCCAGAAGATCGACGCCGCCGCTCGTCTCGAGTTGTCGCTCGGAGCCGCTGTCGCCAATGGATTCTTCCTTGGCGTCTGCTGCGTCTTCGGCGGCTGCGGCGGCTGCGGCGGCTGCGGCAGTTTTGTGCGGTGTGAGTCGCTCGTCGGCGCACCCCGACGAGTCTCCTCCGTCCGCGTCCTCGCATTTATTGGCCGCGGTGGCCGGAGAGCCCCGGTCGCTGAAGGGAGACGGCGAGGCGTGATCGCTGTTGGGCAGAGATGGGGAGCATCCCCTAGGACCTATGACACACGCGCACACGCGCGCGGGTAAACAAACACAGTTACATCAATAGTCACACACAGTTGCATGCAAGCATACACGGTCACACTGTTACACACACACACATTAAACAGAACCCCGTATAAGCCGTGAAGAGTGTTGAGGCAAGCGTCATTAATTAGCGCGACTCGCCGCATGTCTTAATAAGTGCTCGCTAACACGAAGAACACAGTTGTTAAACACACACGCACAGTTGCACTCACACAGCCAAGCCACACAGAATTACCTACACACTTGCACTGCAGCGGACAGCTCGCATTAATCTTCCGTAAAAAAAAACGCGGTTATGAGTCACTCCCCCCCCCCAGTATTTTTATTACTCGCAGTCAAATATCGCAACCACACGGAGAGACAGTAAATATATTTATATATATACCCGGACTGTGTGTATGTGCTGTGCGTGAGCGTAGCATGTGCGAGTGGATGCCGCCGCCGCCGCCGCTCTGACGGCAGTCGAACAGTCCGCGTGCAGGGGTGCAGGCTGTGGGATACTCACTCTCCTCCGTCTGTCCGAACGGGAGATAGGGGTGCCACGGGGCAATGGACTTCTCGACGAAGCGAAAGGGCGGCATTGCGAATCTCGGCATGGGGATCTCGAACGGAGCCACTACGAGGCCCGCGCCGTGCCCGAGAGCCGACATCTCCTCGCCGAAGCGGACATTGCCGAATCCGAAACAGATGAGCTGGCGCTCGGGCTTGGTCGCGGGCTTGTCTTCGGAATTGAGAAGATTTTGGATGAAGAAGGATGACACTTTGTTGGGGCCGGGATTTTGCGGCGTGGTCGCTTTCTCGGACATCTTTTTCTTCGTCCCGTGGCGACGCCTCGGTCTCTCTGTGTGCGAAGTAAAAACTAAAAAAAATTAATTCGACGAATAGCGCCTAAATAAAAATTGCCAGCGCGGAGCTTAGAAAAGCGTGTCCAAGGCGCATCAGCGATCTTTCCCTCTCGCCTGGATGTTTTTTTTCCTCTCTCTCTCTCTCTCTCCTCTTCTCTCTCCCCGCTCTCTCTCTCTCTCCTTGCTTTCTCTCCGAGGCGGAGCTGTTCTAGGGAGCAGTGGCGCGGCTCGCGAGACGAGAGAGGGCGGTGAACATGGCTCGGTTACTCGCTTTGCTCGCTCTTGAGTGGGAGCGAGAGAGTGGGAGAGCGAGCGAGTGAGTGAGGGCGAGCGAGCGAGTGAGGGTGAGCGAGTCTCGCCAACTTGCGCGTCCCAGACAGGAGCGGAGCGTCAGCCCGGCGCCAATTTGTGAAAGGCGGATGATAATGATGAAATAAAAATGTCATACAAGTTAAACGCCTAACAAGCGAGGAACGCGCGGCGATTGGGCAAGCACAATGACAAATGGGATTACTCGGCATAACAAGCGGATCGCTTGTAATGAGTCCACCTCCTGGTTTTTTTTTTGGTGGGGATGAGGAGGTGGGTGGTGGTGGGGGGGTGGTGGTGGGGGTGCATTTCGGGGTGCAGGCTGCAGACGGGGCGAAGAGAGGGACGCGTGGTGGGGAGTGGGGGGGGGGTGTTGGGGGAGGGTGGCGCTAGCGGAGTTGGGAGGGGGAGGGGAAGCTTTAGGGGTTGGGATGTGATGAGGTGCCGAGGGGCTGGAGGGATGGGAGAAGTAGGGATGGGGGGGTAGCGGTGGGTGTGGTGTGGTGGGGGGGTTGTTTAGCTCAAGGCCAAAAGAAAGCTCGCCTCTTATTGGCTTCATTTTGGGCCAATTAGAGCGCAAATCTGGCGGCGGGGCGCCTGGAGCCGGCGCGCGCTGCGTTCTCGGGATAAACAGAATAGATTCGGAGAGCAAATCAGCGGCTCTCGCTCCATCGCTCTGCAGGCTTTTTTTTTCAGCACATTAGCGCCAATTGAGATGTCTCTTGCCCCCTTTGCCCCATTAGGCATGCTGGCTTTAAGCTCTAAAAGCCCGAACAAGAGCGCGTGTTTACCGACAAACACGTTGTTACTCCTGCAGATGGCGCAACACCTGGCCTGTGCCCCCTAGCAATGGAACGACCTCCCCACCCCACCCACACCCCCGCTGCTTCACAATAATTATGCCATAGCAGAAGTTCCACCTAAAGTAGGCGAGACAATGCGACAGACAACACCGCGAAACCAATCTGTATGTGTGAATCAGGCGTGACCGACGTTCGACCGCGCGGGATTCCAAATCGAACATCAATTGCCCCCCCAAAAACAGAAAGTGTCAACCCCCGCGCCAGATGCGCTATCACACCACAACCCCCGTGCTCTTCATTAGAGGTGCCACTGCGCCGCAGTGAGTCACGCGGCAGGGAGTCTATCCCAAGGAACCCCCCCCTCCCCGCCCCCATCCTGCTAAGTGCGTTACCGCACTTGGAGCTCTCACTGCCCAGGGCACGCGCGCCCTACCACTGGTTGTTAATAAGTTGCGCGAGTCATTCACTTGCAAGTGTTGCTCACCTTCCGCCTGGAGTCCGCGCAGACCTCCGGCGAAAGAGCGCCGCGTCGAATTGTTCACACCCAACGTGCCCCGGCAGGTTTCCCGTCTTCAATCAATGAAGTGTCTCGCCGCCGTTCCTTACGGCGGCGTTCCAGAACGCTGGACAGGGCCGCGCATCGTTTAGCAACAGCGAGGTAGACGCGAGCGCAGCGTGCGCGCGCGTGAATTGCTGCCCAGGTACGTTCTTGGTTTCGTGTTACTATATATTAATGACCGATATAGTGGCCCTTGATGTAGGCCGTGGTGTGTGTGTGTGTGTGAAGAATCAATGTAAATTGGTTCGGCATTTGCAATGTCGCGGCCTGAATACAGATGCAGGGAGGTTGGATGTGTGTTATACGTATAACGTAATACAATAATACTAAATGTATTCCCGCACCTCCGATTAGCACGGTATGCTAATGTACGGTGCGAAATAAGTTCGACATGCATGCATTTAGTAATAATAGTGTACGGCGGGATGAAGCTCCTCTCGTGCCGCGTAGGACAAGGGGATTGTTTGAACATACTCCACTACAGCTGGGAGCGGGCGGCGGCACGGTCGAGTAGATTATATTTTCACACTTTCTTTAGAAACTGCGTTTTTGTGTTCAGTTTATGTTGCCATCCCTCGCGCCTCCGATGAGCACGGTTGGCTGCGTACGGTGCAAAAGAAGTTCAACATACAGTACACACATAAACGCGGCCACTGATGTTAGCCGTAGCCGGGAATCCAACTCACGTTGCAGGTTGGTTCAAATCTTAGTGCGCTCAACACCGCCTACCCACCCGCCCGCTATCTGTGTGATTGGTTTCCCCATTCGATGAACGAGCACTCGAATCACAACGACGGCGTCCGTGTCGAAGACTACCGAGGCCTTTGCGAAATGCACGTGCGTGCCGCGTCTATGATGAGCACATTTGTGTGAGAAAGGGCCGCGGCTTTGAATGTGACCCAGTTCGCTTTGGACGCGTAACTTCGTGCTTTCGTGACTGCAGGAATTCACATTCTTGGTTCTTTTTGGAATGTCACGTAAATAGGTTTGAAAGAAGATAACAAAAAAACTACGACGTTTCGATCACAACACAAGCGATCGTCATCCTCCCGATCCTCCTGAAAGCTTTAAGTCTAAATATAAGGTATGCATGTTGAATTTCTTTCGCACCGTACCTAGCCAATTCGTGCTAATCGGAGGTGCCGTTCCGACGTGTCATTGGTCTACTTGCGTTGAAGCTGGTGTTATAAATGACTCCATCGTTAAATAGACAAATAGTAAATACAAAATTGCTGTTCTATTATTTTAACAAATGACCCAATATTTCCACGTGACTTCCCCCTATACTTTTACATCAATTTTTCAAACCCTTCTCCTTCTATCCCACATCTCCACTCCCCACCACCCATACTCTTCCACAACAAGCTCCCCCCCCCCCCCCCCATGTCCGTGTTCATCTTACACAACCGCAGTGCTATGATAATATGTTACGCGTCATATAAATGATCCCATACACTCGTCGGTTCAGTGTGAAGAAGTCATCTCCACATTGGTAGAAGGGTAATCTTTAAGAAAAACAAAGGTCAGCGTGATGGTGCAGCTATGCAGTGCGCAGCACCTACCACTTTTGTGCGCCACTACATTTGACGTATTAATGCAACTGGCTCACAAAATGCATGCTTATCAGTTAGGCAGACGTTTCGGGCAATGCCCCCTTTCTTTGGAGCAGAGAGAGAGCGACCGACGGATATTTTCGAGGAACGTGGTGAGTTCTTTGTTGGAGGAGGCGGTGTGTCCGTGTTTGTGCACTATACTGCCTCGAGATGTGTGCGCGCAACCTCGTGCATATGTAGTAATGGGTTTCGAGGCTCGTTTTTCTTTTTCAGGAGGATGTTGCATCGAGATGTTTGACCAATTCCATTGTTAAGTGTTTGGTTTAATGTGGGAGGAAAGAGGAGCACCCAGAGACAACTTACCAACAGAGGGGGGAGGGGGGGGAAGTTCACACTAAAGTTTCAGTACAGATGGATTCAACAATCAATTTCTATCGTGTGTCCATATCTAGGCCACTTCACAGCATACCTGTCGTGAAGTCACCGCTCCTGGCGAAGTGCATGGGCGACACGTTACGTGCATTAGATCGCATGTCATATTGAGGAGGGGGGGGCAATTATCTGACAATTATGTAAATTCCACGACACAACACGTGCAGTAATAATAATGTATATCGGCCTACACAATGCGGCCCGTCATGAATCGTGCTCCGAGCCTCATGGGGGGGGGGGGGAGGGTGCTGTCCCATCCGCTGCTAATGTATCCATCCCATATTTGTGCATGCAACTTTCTAACGTCTCATTTGCATTGCGTTTCGCGCGGGCAATCTATGCGCTTTTACATAAGGCCGTCATAAATTATTTACTTGTATCTATTTTCCCACTTCAACCGTGGCGTTAACCCCCTCGCTCGATGCGCTACAATAACGGGCAATCCCCACCCCACTTAAGAAAGCTCAATTGTGCACTTGGTCCGTCGTCTCAGATGAATAGCGTATACTGTTGCCGCCGCCGCCGCCATAGAGGCAACATAAATTAGGTTTTTGCTTTGTGCACCCAAGACGCGCACTGAATTATTAACAAATCCGCACTTTAAAAACAAAAGCTCGCAACGGAGCGCGTTCGCCGCCATACGACTGCATCTCTTGTTCACGTATCCTCGTGTCCTTCCATACGCGATCTTGAGAGAGAAAGAGAGGATAATTCGTTTTATTCTTCTTCTTCAGCAATTCAAAGCCATTCTGTCACTCTTGCCGACTATTTCATTTACGTCTTCCGAGACGTCTTGGCAGAGTGCGAAGAGTAGGCTATTAATATCCTCTTCCGAGGGGCTCTTTAGACCTCCCTCTGATGGCCCGAGCAAAACAATTGCAATGCTGCACCTTTACCTGTATGCCTTGAACTCTTTTTTACGGTACTCCAGGGATGGTGACCGATCAAGGGCCACCCCCCAAACCCTCCGATCGGAAAGGTAGCGTGTGATGGGGTAAAGTGTGGGTAGCCTCACCTCTTCCAAGACGTCTTGGCCAGCGGGGAATAATAGGTCAACACTTCGCTCTAGAGGTGCTCTCCAGAGGAGATATCCTTCCGCCACCAGTGACGTGAGCGAGCAATTTCAGGGCATCTCCTTTAAATGGTTACTTTATCGCACTGAACCACAGAAAGGTGCGATGATATGATATACAATGTGCTTTCATATATTGTCCCAAGACACTGTACAGAAACAGTGTTCGTCTTTATTTTGTAGTAACAGTCAGCCATAGGCCGATGTTAAAAAAGAGGTCCAGAACTTGGACTTGAACTGGGGAGGGCGTCAACATCACGGATGGCTTGGGAAAGGGATTTCCTGTGTAAGCTTCTGTGAAAAAAAGTGCATTCATAGTGCGTATCGAAAATCGTCAATGAGTGATATACATTCTAATGATATTTTGAAAGGCCAGAACGCTGAGATTTGTCACGTAATAATGAGGTCGATGCTCATGATTAAAACAATCCCAGCACGAATATATTCTAATATGGACCCAAAAATAAATGCGTCGCGAAGGTGAATTTATTAAGGCTAACCCTGCCCATTCGTAGAGCAGGGTTAACCTTAAGTTTAAATTTATTTAAGTCACGTGCTAACCACATATGAACACATGAACACATAAGATTCCCCATCGTCATACGAACGAATTAATTTACTTTGGAGTGTGACGCTTAAGCCTCTAAAAAGCAGGCAACGTCCCCTACTATTACCTACTCGCCTATAGGTATACATGCTTAAATACATTAAATAAAACTCCAACACTGATGCACTCGGAATAATAATAGTAGTGTTCAAAGTGTGGCTATTATTAGAAATACATTCAGCAATGAAAACAATTCCAAACATCTTCAATTCACA